AAATTTAACGGTATTTTCAAAGTCAAAGGCTGGCACAACTTGTTGAAACACTATAATATATATATATATATATATATATATATATATATAATTTAATACAATATTTAAAAATATGTTTAAATTGTTTAATTTGCTACAAAATATTTTAAAACTAAAATATGAGGAAAAAAAACTCGATCCCCTACTGGGAATTGATCTCGAAATATATTAACGCCAAGCGTCCACTCTACCACTTGACCACACAAGATCTGCAACTACAAGTATATCTTAAAAGAAGACCAATGGTACATTTTTGCCGCGGTGTACCCAGGCCAAAGCCCACGATTTCGCTAGATACACCGCCGCGGTTTACGCAGGCCAAAGCCGATGGTTTCGCTAGGTACACCACCGCGGTGTACGCATCCACTTCGTTTAAATATATGTTGTGTTGTTTAAATGTCTAAATAATGGTAAAGATAAACATGTCTTATTACAATTCTAGAGATTGCATTACCTGATAGCATTCTTTAGAAAAAATAGAATATAAACAACCTTTTCCCAATCAAGGGAAGGGTAGGTTTGTAGAGTGATAAACATTTAATCGGTGACATCAATATCCAAAAAAAAAAAAGGTATGTTGCAGTAAAATTAGATCAACATAGACAGGCTAAAACATACAAATCTGATACTTTTAAAACTCATTTGGTGTAGACAGTATTAATTGTTATTTATTTTCAGATTTTTTCTAAATTAAGCTGTTGGAAGAAGTTTTCATTCAAGAGAAATGGACCCTCCTCAAAGTTATCATATCAACAATCCCTATTGTAATGTTAAAGGCATTGGAAGGTATGAAAAAGCAATCAGGGGTATATATTTTTTCTGTGCAATTGTAATACATTATTTTAATTGGTTTGGAATTGCATAAATTTAATGCAACGGCATATCATTATTCATAAAAATAAATAAATGAATAACAAGCATTCATGTTAAGAGGAAGCTTCATCACAATCATGTGGTCAGAAAAAATATTAAATAAAAATTGAGATACTGAATAAACATTTTGGAATTAATTTGTATCTTTAAAAAATATTGCCTCCATGCTGTTTAACAAGTTTTATGAAATTTCTTTTCTCATCTCTTTTAATTTTATTTTTATTTCATCATATGACTAAAATTTGATTGAATAAAAATTAAGTCAAGCTTACATTAAATTAGGCCTATAAAAAAGTAAATATCAAATTATTATTTTAAAAATTATGTTTAATTCAAATCAAAGGTGCCTAATTCTATTAGTAGGCTTCTATTTAATTAAGGAAATAATAACATTTTTTTTTCTAATTAGGAGGACAGGAAAACCTATTTATAAGAAAAGAGTTCTGGAGGATGGTATGCACAGCTTTGATGCGTATCTTTCTGAGTCAGGTAAGTGCATCTAACAACATACCTTTAGTACTGTAGGCCAGGGGTCACCAAACTACGGCCCGCTGACCGGATCCGGCCCGCCGACAGTACTTAAATTTACTTGATAAAACGTATGGAACACGATACAATTTAAATTTCAAAATTATGTTTAGAATACTATGAGATCTTCACACGTCCGGATACCTCCTGGCTGCTCTGCGCCTTAATACTCTTTCCAATTTTAATTATTGTATATAGATTTTCTTGTTAATTACATACCTGTTTACCCTCGAATACCTAAAATCGTACAATACGGTATATTAATCATAGATAAATAAACATACAGTATGTAAAATGAATACAATAACTACTTGCATTGCAGTGCCTAGTGGGATCGAGTTAAGCTGGCGTCAGAAGAGTTAACTAATAAAAGTAGATGCCCGACTTATATACTATCTGCGGTCACTTTGTTTTGCAGATGTGTATTTGATATTGATAATAATTTATATTGGGTCGACAAACAGATCACATTATTACAGTCTATCACTGGTAAAAATAAAGTTACTTTTGAAATTTAACATAGTTCAAACTTGAACTCAGATCAGCATAAGACAAGATGTATTTGAATAAGAATTAATTGAAAAATGATGACATCATTTTTTATAGTCTGATAACTCCCACAAACTGTAAATATTTGAAAGAAAGAGGAGTGTTGGAAACATACGGGGACATTAAAAATCGTAGTCGTTCTTTTGGAAATAAACAACCCTTCTGTTGTGCGGAGAACATGGAAAGAACATAGTGCTACAGATACATGAGAAAGCCAGGAACTTACAGTGGTATTCTCTGGCCCTGGATGAGTCTTCTGATCTCTCGAGTACGTCACAACTTCTCGTGTTTATTTGTAATATCAATTTGGACATGGAACAACTTATGTCTGGGAGCAAATATTTTAAAAAATAAAGCTTGTGAAGTCAACATATCGAACGAAAGTGATTAATGAACATTTGAAAAAAATTCTTTTGATTGGATGCAGCAATTCCAAACCATACAATGATGATATCTTGAAATCCTAACGTCAGTTTCACAATTCTCACTAATCATTTTTGCTGCTTAGTTTGTGAGAGTCAAATATCTGTGCACTAGGTCTGATGTAACTATCTTTATGCTAACATCGTCTTCTTTGCTAACGCTTTTAGTTAATAAATATGTTGGTTGTCTTTATTTTTTTGCCGTGCACGCCACTCACGCCACTCACCCATGATTAACATGGAATACTAAGCTTAGTTTTTCGTCTTTTTTCCCAGAGCTTTCGTTCTGGCTTGCAAGTATTGTACAGAATGTTTATCGGGCCCGCACTCGTCATTTTATTTTTTTTTTCAATTTTTCCATTATCAGGCCCGCCGTGAAACAATTTTGGTGACCCATGCTCTAGGCCAATGAGTCTAAATCGGCAACTGTGCTGGTGAATGACTATTTGATTAATGCATTCATTAACATGAGACATAGAAGTTAAGCTAAATTGGGTTGTGCCCTAGACTGAAGTTAAGTTGATTGGTTTGTGCCCTAGACTGAAATTAAGCTAAATTGGTTTGTGCCCCAGATGTAAATAAAGTTAAATTGGTTTGTGCCCTAAAGATTTATTTTTTTTTAAAATCCCACAAATTAAAGTTTTCATTTTTTCCTAATTTACTTGAATTTATTTGAAATCAAATATTTGAGTTTACTTGACTGTAATACTATTGAATGTAATGTATTGTATATATCTTTCCCTAGATGCCAGCATAACTTTTTGTCCAACACCAGTTCCAACATCTTCAAGTGTAAGTACGCTGTTTTATGTGTAAGTACACTGTTTATTGTGTAAGTACTCTGTTTTATGACACTTACGTTATCAATATTGTCTTATTTCCAAATAAAACCATGTGTTATGTATGCCATCATTAACATTTATTAACCCTATATTATCCAATAGCCTCAAAGTTCAACCAATGAGAGTGATGTGGATATCTCCCCACAGATATCTCACCAAGTATCTAAACCATCGCTCTCTGGGAACCCTTTGCCCACAGATGGAAACGGTGCAACAGTTACAGACATACAGACAATCTTGGCTCAGTCAGAGACTCACATAAGCCATGCAGCAGCTGAAACCGGTGCAAATAATAATGAATCATTTCCTGATTCAAAATCTGAAAATAAGATAGATAATGTGAGAACCACTTCTCAGATGTCTATAAGTCAGTGTACTGAAAAATCATCCTTTAGGCTTTTCAGTGAGAATATTCCAAACAAGCCACCTGTCAACGCCAGTGAGGCCAAGTTACAGAAAGTCTCAACAGCTGGAAATAAGTCCCAGAAAACACAAGGTGTAACACAAATGACTAATGTCAAGCAGTCAGATAGCACAACTGAAGACATGCGCAAACAAAAGAGCTCACTCCAGACTGAGCGCAGTTTTAAGAAAGCAGCTCCAAAACCGGTGTGTCAGCCACCAAAGGACAAAATGCCCTCCTCAGCTGTATTACCTAAAGGGTTGTCTCAGCAATCAAAGGACCAAATGCCCTCCTCGGCTGTAGTTCCTAAAGGGTTGTCTCAGCACTCAAAGGACCAAATGCCCTCCTCGGCTGTAGTACCTGAAAAATTGTCTCAGCAATCAGTGGACCAAATTCCCTCCACAGTACCCGAGACAGATGCTCATTTTCTCATTCAAAATTCTGGCTTAGACTCAGGGGATTCGAGCGCTGACGATGATAGAGGAAAGAACAATCTTGATCTGAACAAAGTTCCAGTCAATAAAAACTCAACTCAAAAGCCAGTGGAAGATTTGGGAGTACAATCTGAGACAGAGAAAATCCATTCTGAGAAGTTTTCTAAGCAGACATCAAACTCATCAGCTAGTCTGAAATCTGATGATGCCATGGTTAAAGGACAATTAAAATCAGTTGTTGGCAATGGTTTTGGAAATCCTGTCCCACAACCCAATAATAAAAGTCAAGTTGAGAAAGCAGCAGAATCATGTGAGGGTTTATCAGATCACATGACATTGAAAAAAACAATCTTGCCACTTGATAAAGTATCAAAAAATGCACCTGATGTTATTGCTGATCGTGTTCCAGACAAAGCAAGCCTTATTGTCAATCAAGTAGGTCAATTCATTTTTTTTTGGGGGGGTCATAAATAAAATAAATCTTCAAATTTAAGACCTCTTCCAGTGCATGTACTGGGGATGCGAGATACAGAGTGCACCCAGAAAATCTAGGGGGTATGTTTTGAAATGAAAATGGGGATGCCAGGAATATTTTGAAATAAAGATGGGGTGCAGTGCTGCAAAAGGTTTAGAGCCACTTGTTGTAGCCCATCACTACTATCAGTATCATCTTATAGGAGATCCTTAATTGTGATTAATGATGGAATGCTATATTTTATCTAATTATTTTTAAAATGTATTTTCAAAGCCAGCCACATATAGTAAATAAATAATTATTGTCCACACAGGCTAAGCTGTGCAACCCTATTTGATTGAAATACATGAGTGAATGTTTTGTCGCAAAGTATTTTGTAGACATTTTGACTATTTATTTCATGTTAACTATAAGACTTAAATATTTTAATCCCAGAAAAGTGAAGCCAAATCCATAACTCCAAATAAACCTGAGGTTTCAAAAACTCTTCTTGACTTTGGTGGAGATGTGACTGGATCTGTGTCAAACACTGAGAAAATCTCATCAAGTCAGTTCTTTGGAATCAAAAAGAGGTATTCAATGTTTCTTAAATTTTAAACATCACATTGTGTTTCTTTTTAAGTTTTTGAAGCATTTTACCCAGATTGACGAAGGAATACACTGGGGTGAAATATATATCGGGCATATGACAGTGATATGAAAGTTAATTATTTTATCTTAAAATTTGTTGATATGGTAAGATTTCACAGAACTATAACTTTCATAGGAAGAAATTATTTTCTTTCATTGAAAGAGTTCTTAGAGATATAGATTAGGAACTTTTAAAATAAAACAATTAATCCTGGAAACTTTACTGATGAATTCAAATTCTGATGTTTAAGATGTGCTATTATTAACAATGTATTACTTTTAAAAAGCTGAAGAACTATGGAAATAACTTGAACATTTCAGCAGATCATGTGAAATGAAGGTCTATGTCACAGCAGATTATATGATATGAATGTCTGCATCACATACACTTAAACAGAGACCATAAAGTTGGGACAGTTATTCATACAATATAACTTTGAGTAATTTGTAAAGAAATGCAACTTGAATCATTCATGGGACAAGTAAACTTAAGACTAATAAAACACATACTCTTCCGTAACACTTAGGTTAACATTCTCTAAAGCATTGCCTGAGGACTTGATGTGCATGGAAAGAGAAACACACAGGAAAAACTTCAAGTCTGGATCAGCTTTCTTGTAAGTTATTTTTAAATAAGAATTAATTGAAAAATTATGCACTATTTCTTCATATTTTATCCGTTATTATTTAGACTTAAATTTTCTTTTGCTAATTATGGTTTTGTGTCTACAGAAATAACCATGATACTCAACCTGCATCTGTTTCATCGGATCCGACAAAAACATCAGATGTGAATTCTGCCGGCTCATTACTGGAAATCAGCTCAGCCTCATCTGATGATTTCTGCATAGTAGATAATGAATCTGTCGTCGTCACCATCACTTCCGAAGATAAAAAAAATGGCAAGAGGAAAAAAGATGGTGTCAGTTCAACCCAAACCAAGACAGCCAATCAAAAGGATGATGTTAATTCAACCCAAACCAAGACAGCCAATCAAAAGGATGATGTTAATTCAACCCAAACCAAGACAGCCAATCAAAAGGATGATGTTAATTCAACCCAAACCAATACAGCCAATCAAAAGGATGATGTCAATTCTCCCCAATCCAAGACAATCAATAAAAAACTTAGGACTGGCAGCTCACTGACTGAAAAACAACAATCAATTCATCAGCCAAAGACATTAACTGTAAAGAATCAACAGTCAACTCACCAGCCAGAGGCATCAATTGTAAGGCATCAACAGTCAACTCACCAGCCAGAGGCATCAAACGTAAAGCATCAACAGTCACCTCGCAAGCCAGCTCATAAAAAACATCAAAAACAAAGAAATGTAAACAAAAGGAATAGAAAGAATACCGCTGCTCAGCCAGATTGTCTAAATACTGGTGATGAGTCACAGAGACCTAATCCAGTCCCCACCAGAGAGGATTCTCAAAGTGATGAAGTGAGAAATATTACCGTAAATGTGACTGCTCAGCGGCAGCAAAATGAGGATGAAAATTTACTGTTACAAATAGCTGATAAACAAAATGAATTCGGTAAAAGAAAACATGTAAATAGTATTGTGGCACCTGAAGGGGTTCGTGTGAATCAAAGCAGGAGTTGTTTTGTAGACTATTCACTACCTTTAAATGAGTCTCCTCCCCAAGAAAATCAAAAGGCCCCATTAACAAAGCAAGGTAAAAAAAACTCTAACGTTAAAATTTCAACTGTCAAAAGGGCAGCGAGGACCAGAAGATCGAAAACAATCCGAAGTAGACGGTCCAATAAAGTTCTCAACATTTCAACCCACAGTTCAAATGAAGAGAAGAACTTAACCAACGGTCCAGATGAAGACCACAGTGATACAGGTTTGTTATTTTAGTATTGTTGCCAATTTCTACATTTAACAGCTTGTATAATCTATTCTAAGTGATTGAACTTTGGGGCTGAATCAATAATCTCCTGTCTGACGAGGTCGCATCACAAACATCTCAGACCTCTTCAAGTCAATGAAGTCGGGTAAACAAGCCTTAGGCTTTGTAAAAATGGTGTATGCCTTCTCTTCTTTGTGTAGATCTGCTGAGTTGTGGGGCTGGGTGCAGATAATTCATCTATGATTGCATTTATGTATCTTATGTGTAGACCATAAATGATTAACTTTTTATGTTTAAACCCTTTTTCAAAATTAAAACTGTCATTAAGTAGCCGCTTGCTCGTCTGACCGCTTCCCACCTGACGGCCAAGTCATTCCTTGTCACTGTAATTCCACAGATGTAACTCCAGTGAAACTAAAGCTACTATCCACCCTACCGGGGGTGACACCAGTGAGTGGAGTCTCAATCCGAGTGTCTCGGCGGATTACACGCCCTTTTGAGGAACAAAACAATCCTAATCCTGAAGAGGGTGAATAGCAACTTTGGCTTGGATAAATATTCTAACATTATTATTTTATTTAAATTGTTTAACTTTATTTAAAAAATGGTGAATAAATTGGCAATGAAGTCATTACGTTTTGCAAGTTGTACAGAGTTTATTGAATCAAATGTTTAAATGTAATTATTATTGTATTTCTTGCACACCATAGATGATAGGCCATCCTGGACCATGGACAGGAAGAACCAACACATATAATGAATTATTTTTAAAACATGTTTTTTCAACAATTCAGACATGGGTTCTCCCACCTGTATGCAGAGGACCATTACGTCTAGCACACCTACCACGACTACCCCATCCTGTCTAAGAGACAACAGCTCTAAACGACCCAGAAGAAATAATAGAAAAGTTAGAATAAGTCAGTATGTAGAACAACAGGAATTGTCACCCTGTGATGAAGAAGGTAAACATTTATAAGTTCTCATAAATGAAAGAGATCAAATTAAATAAAGATTGAAGTTAGATGCAATCAATAGCTGCTAAAATATTGTTGACTTCTTATCAGTTTATAAATTATTTTTAGAGCATTTATCCCAAATATTAAATACTAGAGATAGCCCGCCAATCACTGGCGACAGCAATGCATGAACTTCCCATCTACTAAATTTACTTGACAAAACTTGAGCTCAAGTGATGAACATTTTAGAATCCCAATTTTTGCTACACCCATAATACGTCACTGCATTCTTTTTATTTCACTCCCATGAACTTTATTAAATATTCTGATGTCCCAACCACTTTTAAACCGAATATTTTTACACCATACTTAATTTAAGACGATTTCATTTTCCGAAAAGAAAATCTTACGCACCAAATGCAGTGGCGTTATTTTTAAAAAATCGGGAATTATATTTTGCATGCTATTGAACTCATTATTGAACCATACTTTCCTTCAAACATATAAAATTATTTGTAATATACTCTTAATACCAAATACGCTGAATAGGAATCAGCCAGAAATGGAAGCAGTCCAAGAGTCACACCAATTATAATATATATAAGAGATAAAGTTGTTTTGTTACATTCCTTTTTCAGGTTTTCACATGCTGTTCCTTTTTTGATAACCTGATTGCAGTCTCTCCCTCTTATTGCCATATTAAATTGCTCACTGGGATTGATATTAAATCAAATAACTAGTGGCATATCAAGTTCACTCGAAATGTAAAAGAATACCCAAATTGTGTCCACATTACCTTATTTTGAGCAGAGAATCCAGGAATGAACTGTGCCGAGTCAACTGAGTTGTCGGTGACTTCCAGCCCTGTTCACTATGCAGAGACAACTACGAATGTAGAGTTCACTAAATCAAAGTCGCCAAAGTTAACTTTACCAGACCTGTCTTATAAAATTGGTAATTATATAAGTTCATTCATTTCAGTTAGATCTATACTATAATTTAAACACCTACGTTTTGTCATTCACATGGCCAGTGGCATTCATTGAGCCCAATGCTTTCCAAACTGAATTTCTCCATACGATAGTGTTACGCCTGCAGGGTGAAGGTGCGTCACACAAAAAAATAAGTCATGCCAATTATCGCTCATGTTTCTAGACATAAAATAATAATAATAATAATAATTAGTGGTCTTAAATAGCGCGGTACCCCAGCCTAGGGCTGGGCTCACCGCGCTGTACATAAAAATATTAGCAAAAGAGACATAATCATGACATTAAAATAAAATACATTTATGAAATAAAAACAGCGTGTAACCAAAACAACAAAAACAAATGTATATTCACCCACCCCACCCCAGAACTTTTAAATGGCAAACCATGGACGGCATGATGAAAATGGTAAATTATGTTAAAATTATGTTCTGCCACACACAGATGCTTTTTGGCTCTCATGAGGTCATTCGCTTTGTCTTTCGTATGAATTGTGGGATATGATGTTAACATTTGGTAGGCATAATGAATTGCAGTCTTTTCCTTTTCATGGTGTATGAAGAGGATTGTGGATTGGCGTCCAAAATATAAACGAAAAGTTTCTTTGATATATATTGTGGAATTACATTTTGTTATTGCACATATATCTTAAAATGGGTTAGTAAACCTTATGTCGGTTATGGGAGTTCATTAATAATTGTTGCGACTTAATATTATGTTTCATTACCCCCGGTGTGTGTTTGAGAGATTGATTAGTTAATGAACGCTCTTCCCACGCTTGACTTGGTGACATATTTTTATGCTCATTATGAAGTATTGTCTAGTCTGTTTCGTGACATATGTTTTATTCGTCTGGCAGTCATGAGAGGAACTTTGTGAAAGGAGGTTGTGTTTTATTCCCGTCTGATAGCCAGCTGCGCTATATGCATGTGTTCACGGAATTTACAGTCTGTGTATACAATTAAATATTAAAGTTACATTTATTGTGATAAATGACTTGAGTTGATTAAGGGCTAGTATGACGTATTACAACGTGTGAAAGAACTTGACGAATTAACCAATCTAGTAGAAACATGAGTTTGACACCTTACTTACTGTATTGCAAAATGACACATGTCTGAAAGTGTGTCACCAACAGTTTGGGAAGCACTGCTATAGCCAGTCGTGTTGCTGATATCAGTACATTTAGGAATTGAACACTTTTGAAATAATGCAAAGAGATCAAAGGAAATATCCTGCCAAGAACATTTTCAGATGACTCCTATTACACTAAATAATTAAACATTACTGTCCTAAAATTGAATAATGCATTTAATTATTATTATTAATGTTTTTTAATTATTTTTAATTTATCAAGGTTAAATCAAATGTAATAGTATCTCCTGAGTAATTGACTTGAAGTTTATCTCTGGAACTCTCTACATCTCTTTAATAGTTCGGCCTCCAGAAACAGTGGATGTTGGCTTGCGCAGATCTAAAAGGACAAGGGTCAAGCGTCTAAATTCATGCAAGGGGGAAGGCATTATCTACAGGAGAGATAGTTCAGGTTCGTGCTTCATTTGTAGAGTTATTGATAATTTGAGTGGTCATTCAATTTCAAATGTCCAAATTATGGATTAAAAATGTATGGGCTAATCTAACAGACTATTGGCATCTTAAGCATTGATCACTTATCATGATATAAAATGAAAAGCTAATAATCTAGACAAATTTTGTTTTAATAGCTTTCTTTTACAGTCTTAGTACATACATAAAACTTAGGTTACAATCACATTCATTGCATTTACCATTAGGCTAGACATTTACTTCATACAGTGCATTGAGTTTTCAGTGCTACCATTTGGCTTGACATAAGCTCTTTGATCCCTGGACATTATGAGTTTTATTTCATAAATCCTGGCATAATAAATTCAGCTCAGCAAATGTCCTTTCATGAATCGAAGTGGCTATTCGTACCCGGGTACTATAAGCACCGAGTCAAAATGGACCCAGACACGTATTGCCGCCACTTACAGCGGGTACTATTAGACTCAAGCTATTCAGGTTTCATATGTGGTAATTTATTCTAGTTAAACTCAAGAAGTAAGTTTAGAAACATATTGTCCATTCAATTATCTTTCATTTGATACCTAATTTTGTCTTACAAAGCCAATAATAATATTTTAAATAGTTTTTTAATCCCAACCTCTCACTTCTGGGTACCCTGGTGCGAATAGTCGCAGCCTTCATGAACATTTTGTTTCTGCTCATCACCATTTAGGTTTTGGCCTGGTGGTAGATGGCATACAGCCGAGTGTGGTGGAGGCCAAATTTAAAGCTCAACAGGAAGAACGCCGCAGGAAACTAAGACAAAGAAGATGTACGTGAGATATCAATGGTTTTTTTTATTATTTGTAAGCTTTGCACTAAATGATTTGGATCTAAACAAGTCAAAGTAATTGCTATAGATCAGGCCTGCACAACATTCGGCCACCGGGCTGTTTGCGGCATGCCAGCACCCACTGCAGACCTGTTTACTCTTACGATTTTGGCGTACATTGTACGATTTTGAGGTGTATACATTATATATACTGTATGTTTATTTTTTTACTATTAAGGTAATGAATGAATGATTTTGTGATGATATTGTACGATTTTAAGTGTTTGAGGGTAAACAGGTCTGCCACTGCAACCCGTGAAGTAACAAAATATTCTTTATTATTTTCTTTAAAGCTCCCCCCCCCCCTGTCCTATTTTCTTTTGACCGGCACAAGTTTTTTCATAAAGTATTATGGCCCGCCTTACATGTTGAGTTGTGCAGGCCTGCTTTAGATAAATAAAGGGGCACGCATTTAATTTATTCACAGTTTTTAGTCCTTGTAACGTATATCTCTGATATATTTAATAGAACGTAACAGCAGCGAAAGTTTTGGGTCTATAAGAGAAAAGGCAATTCAGCCGGCTGGTTTGATAATTATTCAGGACTTTGTTGTGTTAATGAAAATGTCATTCTTAGGCTGCTAATTATCTGTCATTTTTTCTTAATGGATATATTTTGTAAATGCGTAGTTAGTTTTTACACATGATCACAACTGTCTTTGCAGTACTTTTGTTGATATCTCTCCTAACGAATTGAACGTCATCAGATTCAGTTATTATTATTACAGTGCGGGCCATGACGGTCCCGGCCTCATCTGACAGACGCCTCTCCTCACATTTTGTGCTTGATAAGAACGTAACCTTCACTTCCGAGCTACCGGTGATTAACCCAGACAATAACGAAGAGGTTGTTGTAGGTGAGTAGATATAAGAGAGTGGTTTAAGGTGCGTAGTTATAGGTGTGTAGTTATTGGGCTGTTTTAGGAGTGCAGTTGGTGGTGTGTTGCTGTAGGTGTGTACTACTGTCCATCTAATAACAAAAATGGTGTTCCCCATGCACAATTTTACAAAATATTCATTTTTTGATCAGTAAAAACAACTCCCAAATAAGGCAATTATTTTGTGTGCGTGATTCTCCTGGAAAAGGAAAGAGCCTAGGGTAAATGTTCATTTTTTGTGTGCGTGATTCTCCTGGAAAAGGAAAGGGCCTAGGGTAAATGTTCATTTTTTGGTCATATTTATACAGTACACCTAGCTCAATGTTAATACCTGTTTGGTCTTGTTTTATTTTTAAAAATCTGGTTTAAATACTTTTAGCTCTGTGGTCTTTAATAAAATATCCTGTTACTTGATATTTGACATCAAGATTAGAATCATGATTCTATTCTTTTTTTTTAAACAATTCAAGTATGTCAAAAATTTATTTTAAAAATTAATTATCTTAATAAATAGATAGCACTCCATACTCTATAATGACTAAATCATTTTTTTCTACTCTCAAACTCAAAGATTAAATTTATTTGCCTGTTTAAATCTCTGAGTACTTTGACTACATTTGGTGGTGTCACCTCCCAAGACCACACCTTCATCTTCATGTTTCCATTGGTATTAAAAGCCTTTGTGTATGTTGTGTCATTGTTATTTGTTGATTTATTATTGAGGACATGAACCTTGAATGTTTCTAGAAGTCGTAGCAAAGCCAGACACCTGGTGTAACTCTGATCTCCAACCTGTGAGCAAGACAGATCCGTTAGCTGTCTGCCTGAAGCTGAAGCAGCCAGGGTTTTGTACTGGGGACCTTCACATGAGACCTTTAGCTGAGAAAGTTTCAGAGTTGGCCGTGCAAACTTTGGTAAATAGTTGCATATTTTACTTGACCTTCTTTTTAACTGTTTTGCTTTTGTTTGTTACAAAGCCATACTTGTTAAGGCTTCGACCAAAATAATTTTTGGAAAAGAGCCATGTCCTGTGGATAAAATGTACTGCAGAAAATCCATAAATGTATTTATTGGTTATTAAATGTCTCATGAATTAATGAATGCATTTTATGTTGAAAAATGTACTCTATGGAGACCTGAATAGGAAGCCTGTTGAGTCCATCAATTCATGTACGGGATGTTGTGTATACTAACAATGCAGGTATCAATTTAATTTTCAGATTTTCTCTGTGATACATGGGAAAATTTGCTTCACATTAAATGGCATCTCAACAATTGTGGATTCTGGTGTGGACTTTTTTATTCCTAGAGGTAATTATCAATGTCAGTCTTTCAATTAAAATATTTGACTTTATGATACTTAATCGGCCTGGAAGTTTATTATTTTGAATTAAAATGGTCATTTACTAAAGCAAACAAGCAAAAATTTTGTGTATAGTTTTGAAGGACATGGACACTAATGGATGATCGTGTTACTTAAGATCAATTATACAACAGATGTTTCAAAATTTATGTTAACTAATATCTTTAACTAGCAATCAGAGATTTCATGAAACAGCAGCAATCTGTAAAGAAAGTTGTATTTGAAATTTTTCGAATAAATGTTTGTAAATATGCTAGGCGAGAGCTAATACAATAGATTAATATTTATAAAATTCAATCACTTTTTCATTTTTAAACACAAACAAATGAAATTTTCTGCGAAATTTGTTTGTCATAAATGGATAGCTTGTGTGGTCCTTGTTTGGTATTCTTGGATTAATTAGCTCATATGGTCCTTGTTTGATATGGCTGGGTTACTTAAGTTGTGTGGTCCTTGTTTGATATTCTTGGATTACTTAGCCTGTGTGGTCCTTGTTTGTTATTCCTGGGATGCTTAGCTCGTGTGGTCCTTGTTAGATATTCCTGGCTACCATCCTTTAACAAATCCTTTATTTACAGGTTCGGTATATGCTCTGAAGAATTTACGTCGGGACATTGCCAAGCTTCATTTTATTGATATGAATGACTGCAGCCAAGATGTCAGCACAGGAAGTGACTAAACCAGTTGGTCAATGTTAGATCACAAGTCACCTACATACATTGTAGGACCAGTTGCCTTCATTTAAAGCAATCCAAATCTGGATTGCGCTTTGTGGACAAATACAGTTTTCCCGCTTAAAACTACAAATAATTAGCTCAGATAAATTGATTGATCCATTAGGGCAACATTGATTAACGTACTAAACTGATTGCTTCATTTGGGCAACATAGTATACAATAGAACAACTTCTATTATCTTTTAAGGGCGTTTTTTTAATGGAAAAAAATAATAAATTTACCATAGATTCTCAAACTGTAATACATATAACTCTTGTGGTATGTTCTTTCTCCCAAGCAGTACACAAAGATGTATGAAAAAGAGGAAATATATATGACTGATATTAAAGATGCAATTTGCATACAAGTGTACATTAATTTTTTTTATATTTTGTTGTAATACAATTTTGCTTAGATTTGAGAACCCCTGCACTATAACATCAGTTAATTTTCATAATATATAACATTACCTAATATTAAAATTTTATTAGATAACATCATAGAGTGGACGGGACTCAAACTAGGCGATACTGCAGAAAGCAGAGAGGAATGTTTTCATGTTACTGTGGTGCCCAAACGGTCCAAGGACTAAGGGACATGATGATGATGAATAATATAAAAATTATAAATGTGTAAAACATTACATCATTGGTTCACTCCCATGATTCACTCAAATTATTTATAATATTTTAATAATAATATGCATAGTATTAAATATTTGATCCATTAATATTTATAATATGAATAGTTTTTCCAGATGTAGCATTGGATTGTGGGAATCTTACAGAAGTGGAAGATGAGAGAATTAGTTTAGGTCACTTTGCTTTTTAATTTTAAGTTCATTGCAATTAAAATATCTATGATCATATTCTAGATCTTTTCTCTTCAGATAATTGTATTCCTTGATTTTAACTTATTTTAAGTAACCAACCTATTCAAAAAATTACTTTATTTGCAAAGTAAAAAATCCTTGTCCCAAGTGCGATGAACTGAAATGTACTTTTATAAGTTGAATCATCCAATGGACTGTAGGATTATATCATGACATCTAATTTGCAAATGGTTTTTGCCAACAGAGTTTGTGGAAAGGAGGGGGGGGAGGGGGTTGTATCTGTCATTTTGGTACCAAGACATCAATAAATGATTGTACCAAACAACTATAAGTCACATTTTAGTTGATATTCTCAGATTGTTTCAGTAAAGTTTAAATTATAATTTTTTTGTTTATAAAATTATTCATAAGCCCTTTACTATCTAAACCTTATAAAAACGTCTACCACATTGTTATTGACCTGATTTTTTTTTTCTTTTCTTGATTTTTTATGTCATTCAACCGATTTCAAACAAAAGTCAACCATGTTATGATATTGAATGTATAAATGTTATTGATATTTTTAAATCCTCTGAAATAAGTTGTTTCAGTTAACAGTTACAAGTTTTATCATTTCTAATTGTTGAGACATGATGTCATGAATACTGACTCACATACAATAAATGACACTTTTCCTGTCTTGGGTTTTCATAATTTCAATGTTTGTTCTTAAATAAATATATTATTTATTCTTGATATGTTTCTCTACTCAGTCAATAACAGTGCTAATTGAAATCTATTGGTTAAGATAAGATAAGTTTTCTTAATGGATTTTTTAAAATCACTTTGGTAGTGTTTTCACTTTCAGCATGGAGATAAACATTCTGATTAAGATAACAATTTTTAAACTCAATCAATTTAAGCGGAAGACATTTTAAAGTATTTCTCAAGCACAAAACTCTGCGTAAAAAATTCATTTCCTTAATGAAAATATTGATGGGGTCTTTTATTCTTTTAACAGCCAGTGAAGCATTCTGGTAAATTCAAAGATTATGGAACAAATGAATTTCTAAATCGTTCCATCCTTACTTTGAGGGAAATCATGATCCAACTGAGTCTATTTATCTGTGATGGAGTGGCTGGGATGGTTCCTGAGATATTTTTAGTTTTATAAATGCATTCTTGCTTCAAATAATTCTTCAAGCAATGGCAGCTTTGTTGGTGTGTTATGAATGGCTGCCTTGATAAGTCAGTGTTTGATGAGAAATGATGAGTTCCCACACCAGCAGGTATTATTGGAACTACAATGAAAGTTTCTGTACATAAATGTGCACATTAGGCCTACATACTAAATATCTGCTGACGTGATCTGACCTCATTTACCTTATGTCAAGGTCAACTCACAGAATTGCAAACCGGAACTTAGATCAAATATTTTTAAAACTCAAGTCAAAAGCTGATGTGCTAACAAAATAATGCATATTTATACCATCATTAAAATAGTTGAGTTACCGGTATTTGGATGTCATTTGATAAGAGAATGTTGATGAATGCTTGAAAACACCTGGACCATAAGCCATTGATAAGAGAATATTGATGAACAGCTTACAATTTGTGGGAGAATAGATGGTAACGATAACTCCTGAGTGAAATTGGGGGGGGGGGGTGTAGATGGGAAGGCTCAGTGAGAACCTTCCTAGAAGATTTACATATAACTAAAATGGCATCTTGAAAGCGTTTTCGGTAGGTTGAGTAATCAGTTACAAAAACCATATTGATCGGCAAAATGGCCGAGACCCGATTAATGGATTCAAACTTAATCTAGGGTATATCAAATATAGCACACAACAGACTAATCAAGAAAGCTAGGAACATAACGCGAACTAAATATCCTTCACTCGAAGAACTATTTGAAGAAAGATGTTATTGTAAAACTAAACACATTTTGGATGATACATCCCACCATCTTCATCACAGATACTTAGGATCGGGACGAATTCTTTCTGTCAGGGCGAGGATTGAAAGATAATAAAAGTTCTTTTGTTCCCCAATCTGTCCAAATTTACCAGCGTGCTCCCCCAAACGTCACAAATCTTAATCAGAACTAATAAGTCCCTGAAATGGCTAAGAGAATTCACTGACTGGCTGGGTTTTTTTTTTTCACTAGTGAAATAATTTAATGTAGATGTCTTGTGTTCATTTCGTTTTACATATGTGCTGAAAATGAACAATGCACTAAAAAAAAACAGGTCCATTTGTTTAGGTCAATAAAAGAATCTTATCGTATCTCTTATAGACTGCTGTTTAGGACTGACTGCAGCGACGGCTGACCAAGTCCTCGCTCCTGCACAATGCCAGATTATTGACATCAAGTCCATTTGCATGACCGTCCTCGTGTGCCATTTCACGGGGAAATGTTCAGTAAAAGTCAATCATCTAATGTGATTCCATAATTTAGTTCAGCTTTATCGCCTACCTCAAGGGTCCCACTTGTGCAATTTCTCCGTCAAGCTCCCAATTTATCAGTCCAAATATGAAAGCCTGATTGCACAGATTTTGTAGACATTAAAGTGTGCATACTCTAACTATTAATTCTAATAGCAAGTATATGATCCGCTAGAAGAAGACATCGACTCCATATATTCACATATGAATAAAATGTTTCACGCTTGTGATAGCTAAATGATTGTTTTAGTATACCACAGAGAGCAGGAAAATTGCAAAACTCTCCTAAGCATCGGCACTTTGAAATTCGAGGCAGAAAATCTCAACAATTTGCGAGTCTAAGTAAATTGATGAAAAATTGTAAGAAAAGTTCATCTATTATATTGATACACCTTTATAGCTTTACATAATTTTGTTCATGCGGGTATTTCAATATTTTTACTTGCACATTTCATACTAGTTTTCATGTTTTTCAACAAAACTTTCACGTTAAGGTAGTCATGAATTTTAATGTTCTTATCTGGAAAAAGTATAGAGCTAGGTTGTTGTTTTTTTAAGTGGGGCGCCTGGTTTTCCAAAGTGGGGCTTACGCCAAGAGGGAGATTATTTGAAGAATAAGACAAGGGGCATTTAGTTCCCGGTATATAGGAATGTATTTAAGTTTCATAAGAGAGATTTTTTTTAAAAAGGGGGTGGGGGCAACAGCAGGTGGTGCTTGGGGAAAAATTATTGGAGAAACACTCTTAGTAAACACTTTCTTTAAAATGTTGTGGGGATTCAACCCCCATGCCTTGTCTGCAGCTGTTTGGTTCAGCTGAATGAAATAATTATGTCGCACGTACTGAAACACAGTGGACTACACCTTTAAAAATCTACACAAATCAGATCATAAGCGAACATTGGTGTTGTGTGTCCATTGCATGCGAGGATGACCAAGGCTTTCTTTCAGCGGTGAGTTGGCTCGTGGTTTGTCAGTCGTTCTTTGTGCCCGGAAAGCTTGCTACC